TATCTGTTGCATGAAGTTTTTGGAATAATATTTTAATAGTTAAAGCTGGGAACAACTCCTATTAATGATTTAAATCATCTCATTCAAAAATTTGGGTTTGATATTGTAGTCTATTAATTTCAGCATCTGCATAATTTCCTTCATATATCTTTGTATTTTCTATAGCATATTGCAGACTATGAAACGCTTTCGATCTTATTTTCCTAGCTTTAAAGTCGTCGTAATGTTTCACTGCATTTATTTAGCTAAATAATATAATTGACGGCTAAAGTATATTAACTGACATGTTTATATGAAGTCAAGCATTCAATTATAAATCTTTGGCATGATAATTGTGACTATAATACTATCGTTCGATTTTAATAGTTACACATATTAAATTTATACATTAAACTATTCAAAAATTAGTTTCTATTCCATATTTCCTAGATTAAGCTCAAACTGTGATTATTTTGAAGTCGTAACGATACCTCAGGCTGTCTAGACTATAGAACTGAAGTCTTAGAAACGATTAAATAAAGATTTTAAATCTCTTTTCATCTTTACTGAAATACAGCTATTCGCACAATACACCAGTAAAATACTCCAGGCATATACTGTACATTAATTGAAATTTTCAAATACTATGATACTCCATCAAATTCATTCTGAAATGGGCTTTGCTAATGGCTTTATACTGCTATCGTCTAAGCAGTTATGATTGAGACTTAGCTGAAGTAATTGTCGGTTGAAAGGCTGTCATGATATTTTTGACTACAGTTTTTGCATCTTTCAATTTATCAATAATAAATTATTAGTATACGCGTATTACTACAAGAAAAGAAACAACATCAATATAGTGCCTGTCCAATAAACGTATAACAGTAAATATTTCACCAAATAATTTAGCAATAATTATCTCTATTAAAACATAAGTTCGTAATATATAATCTTATTTCGTGTACTATATTTTTTCAAACTATCCACTTATATAAATGAATTATTCGTCTATTCGGATATGTAACAAATATTGACTTGATAAACTTACGTGGATATCAAAAAGATGACGTCGGAAACGGATAGGTTGGCAATTATTATTTCAGTCGGAGATAAATATTTGCGATAGGCGATAGCAATGCTAATTAAAATTCCGTTACTAATAAGTGAAAGAGTAACTGCAGTGCATGAAATGATAATAAATGGCAGTTGAGACGAAAATTTAGAAACAGTCTGATTATTTTGGAAAGAATTATTTTTGTAATCATGCCACATGATGAATAAATAACGAATATGTATACTCAATTTATCCAATGTTTTCACTTAATTGAAAACCGAAACGGCTAATACCAAAAGATCGATACCAATTTCTTTACGAGGAATGAATGGAAATAAACAAAATTACAGTAAATTCGTCAAAATAAAGCTGTTGCTGAGTATTCCCAAGACAATAATTGATACTGAATTATCCTTGTTCTGTTATAATAAGTGAAATACCTAAATTTCAAGTATTCAACGCATAGATAAAAATTACTTTGAAGTCATAAGTATTAATTTTTAAGATACACTAAATATCGCATTTAGTAAATGTCCTGGAATTTACTTCTAGTTAATTTTTTGATCATGTTTTATTGCAAATAGAATAAGGCGAAAAATTAGCAGACTGTATGCTTACACATGCTAACATATCGGTACTAAAAGTACGAATGTAAGTAATGGATATTGATAGCGAACAAGCAGTAAATTTTTTGCTTATGATAGAAGTATATCTGGATCTTCTCGCTACCAAGATAAATTTGAAGTGATTAAGCAATATTTAAGATAATTCAATCTATAAGGCCTACTTCATCCCTAAAGAAAGTATATTTGACTGTTTCGAAAACTACAATAATAAAACTTCAGTATATGGAAATACGGTATACCGAAGATCGATTTCTAGTACAAGTACACAAATGATATTTGGACGGTACAGTTTTTCCGCTAAATCTATACTACTAAAATAGCTACCGTACATAACATTCTTAAGGTCTATTCGAATAGAAACTGATGGTAAAATCTTGGGTATATTGAAAGTACTCGTCAAGAACAGATAAAAGGCGGATATAATACTATTCATGCTATGAATTTTCGTGAAAGAAAAATACTGATTATTTCAGATGATTAGTTGTCAAGCCTAGACACAATCCAGACCATTGTGAGTAACGACTAGTCAGTGGAATTTCAGTAATTGCCAAGTATTTTGTAATGTATTGCATACTATACAGTTATCAGTCCATAACAGATCAAAATTGATTTGCCATGGCTTAAGATGAAATTTCCAGGCATAAATTGATAGAATATTATAACGAAGACAACTTTTAATTTTACACACGTGATGTCTAGATATCTGTTAGCATTATAAACGGAAGTACCAGATAGATATTTAATTAAACGATTAGCATTTTAAATTGCAACCATTAAATATCAGCCTGCTTGCAACATTGAAGGTGTCTTATAAGTGATTATCAATATTAATAGCCATTAAATTATCGGAATGGATATTGACATTTAAAGATCATATTAAGGTATAACAGAATAGTCTGAAATCAGATTATCGCCCTTATGTAGCTTTCAAACGGTACGAAAATTGTTGCATAAGTACGAGAAATATATCAAGAATGATACTTCACTACATGATACTTTATATTTAATTAGAAATTCGATCGACTTACACTAGTAACAGCGGTCTGAAAATAATCAAAGAATTTAATATTCTATTAAACTATGAAAGAGTATGCCTAATGTCCTGAACTCAGTATCGTAAAAGCTCTATTTCACTAGAAAATTTTTTAAATGATCAATCATCTTACGATGGAATAAAGCGATAGAATATACATTACAGTGCTTGGGCGCACATAGCTACTGCACTATATTTATTCTAAAGTAAACTTTGTAATGCATTTAAAAGATTTACTGAAACAGTGAAACGACTAGGATTATTAATCAAAATCTAAATACTAAATCTAGACAAAATCTTAATCTTAAAAAGCTGAAGTACACAATAATTCTGAAGTAGTATGACATTTTCATGTTATACAAATTGTTTAATAAGCGAAAAGAAAGTCGTTAGCTTACCTGAAGCGATTAATAATACAATTAAAAGCTTAAGTTAAACACTTTATCTGCTAAATTTCAAGGTACGATGATATATATGGTCGTACAATTATAGAAGGTTTATGGAAAATAATAATGATAGCTAAGATTACCTGTGTTGTAAATACAAAGTAATTGCTAAGTCTTATCAACAAATTTGTAGGTATGTCGTATTCTGCTGTTTTGGCAAGAGTGTTCACCGGCGTAAATAAATAAATCTATTCAATACAAGTATACTGCAATAAATATCAAATCAGCTTAGTAAATTTATGTAACTTAGACCATACGAAAAGCAAAGATGTTGTCAACACCGATACACCATTCTGAAAAATAATTTCAAACAAAGGATTCGGCTGTGATACCAAAGAAATATTCTGATCGAAGCTAGTCATTGCCTCGAGGTCAAAACCTAGAACTGAATGTAAACGATAGCAACATTGATCCAAAGCTGACGTTGAAATTAAATCACGTCAATTAATTGGCAATTTTAATATACAATTGTAACCAGGTGAAAAAAACTAAATGCTATCGGTAAATTAGCTGAACTCATACAAGGAAACAATTTGAGATTTATACTAACCGGATACTAGAATTTGGTTTGCTCTGTTCTGTATTTAATTTTTTGGTATTGACATCGAAATGATTTGTTGCATATTGTTGTAAGAATAAGGCACGATTTTGTGACTTTTTATCCTCTATGTATATTTTATTGATTCATATTCATTTGGCTAAAATTTACAAATTTCGCGATACTATAAACAATCTTTGAGGATTGAAAGTTACTGCGAGGACTAGCGAAGATAGTCTCCACCTACTGTCAGAGTGAAAACTAAAGTCTTTATAAAATAGTAAAAGTTATTGTTTATAGTCTATTAAAGAACAGAATTCAGATTGCAGTATTATATATAGAGCATTATTTCTACATATCCCTGTTAAGTCTGTTCGTACATTAAATCGTAACCATGCAGTGATAATACATTAATTTATTTATTTAAGACTTTTTCTTGATTGGACGCCTTAACTTTGATATTTTCGTGTCAAGTTATAGGGCACCACTCAGCTTATGATCGTAACAATTGTAAGCTGAAAGGTGTACTGTAACAACTACTTATATGCTGTCAATCGTAAACATTTTAAATAACACTAACTACTAATCACAAAGAAATATCCTCGAGGACGTTTACAATTATACGCACAAGATATTGAAATAAGAGCTACACCTTGTTTACTACTTGCATTGTAAATCAGTAATATTTTGCGACTGAACATAACGAGAATTCTACTATCGAGAATCAAGCATTTTCTAGACTCTAAATATTATCTAGCGCCATATTTATTCTCATTCAGTTGGTGAGGTCAGACCAATTGACAAACAATGTATCATGCCTGAAATCTATCAATAGTAACATAAACAATGCGAGCACAACTTAAACATAATTGGATTTAGTTAGAGTAATATAGTAGTCTACCACTTTTGTTTTACATTACAATATAATATGATTAGCTTAAACGACTTATTGACATTTGATTCCTGCATCTAGAAAGAATGTATTATCACGGATACTGAAACATAAATACAGTACCTAAAAGAGTGTTAACCAATTCATGCTTATATATTGAGTAAGCTGCACTAAAACGGACATTATACATCTTTGCTAAGGAATGAAATAAGTTTAGCAAAATCACAAATGCAAATAATCAAAGTAGGATAAACTAAATAGTAGATTTACAGTTGTGGAGATATTAGCAATGATTATGGCTAATGATGCAATTTCTTAGCAATTCCATTCTTAGCTTATATGGATAATATTCGAGTCGGTCTTATATGATAATTCAAAAATATTAATATTGCAAGAACAGTAATTATTGAAAACACATCCTAGAAAGTTTAATTACGATTTATCTGAACTAGTAACATCTTGAGCTTTTTGTTGTTGTTTTCTCAACCATTGTCGATAATCACTTAACGTAACGATAGTATCACCATAATAATCATCTTCATATTTGCTCGTACCATACGACCTTGAAACACGATTGGCTTCTATTCTTTGCAAGAAATCTTTCTCACGCTATTTGACATTAGTGAAGAAACAACATTTAAGGTATAGTTGACTATATCAATGCTGATGTTATTACAATCTTTCAGTATTATTTCTGCAAATAGCTGTATTGTTAACATAATGGTATCCCAAGCAGTCGGACAAGATTGCAAATATATATTTTCAAGAATAGATACCGTATGCAGTAGCGGTACCTATATAAAATTAGGTAGTAATCTGTAATGTAATCTTACCTCATCTATATTCTTAGCTAATTCTCTATTAGAAATCTTCCAGAAAAAGCGATACAGCGAAGACCCTCCAACAAAAGTGCACAAGCTAGCTAAAACACCAGCTGAAGCGCAAAATATGATTGGATCCATTCCTCTATAGTATAAATGTACAATGGATGATTAATATAGTTGTGGTTGACTGTGCTCGTATGAATAAATAGCTTGAATTATTGCAAGTACAGAGAAGCCCTTCAAGTAAAAAGATTGATGATATCATAAAACTATTATTTTAATTGACTGAAGTAGACAAGAGTAGATCTATTGAAATCTTGCAAGTTTGATTCTCACACGATGTATGCAGCTGCATGTTGGCAACGATGTTCGATGCCAGCTGTATAGATCCTACCGTTGATTTTGAAGATTGATTGATTCTCTAGTATTATAGTATGCAGTCAGTGAATTGCAATGTACAGAATGCTAATACGCGTCTAGTTCAAAGTAGCAAGCCAAGAATTGAAGGTAACTTCCAATGATAAACGAGGTTAAGCTAGAGTTATCGCGATATCGAATGACATGGAATCATTGTATGAGATAACTGATCAGTTGCGCATAGCATTGATTTCTAGAACTGTAGAAACCTTTATAAGTAGTTTTGCATCATGTTGAATGTATACCATGGATTCAATGAGTGGCTTGGTATAGTAGTATACTGTAAGCTACCTATTTAATCGATAGTATTTATAGGCTATCATTGCAGTATTTTATAATGGAAGTGTGCCGTTATTAAGATCCAATTGATTGATAATAGAGTGGACTAATTTCAATGTACTGTATACGGAATCTATCTGTGTGACGACGATTGTAAGAGTCAAGAAATGAGTTTCATCGACTGCTGTACAGTAATATAATTTGCAAGCGTAGCATTTGCTAGCACTTACAGTATCGGTTGAATCTCATCCGGTGGTGTATCAAACATGTTTGGAAGCATGTAAGCTGATACCATTGATGAAGCTGTTAAACCTAACAGGCCAAAAGGAACTCCGGCAATCCTACTTCTGACTTTTAATTTCTTACGAAATGTGATAAATTCTTCAAAAGGTAACTGTAATGGGGTAGGTCGAATTTTGGATCCGAAACGACCAGCCGTGGTATTCAGGCTTGGAGCTGTTGCTTTATTCTCTCCTTTCTCATTCATTTCTTTGTTATCATACTTGATCGAGCTAAAATGAAGATATCTACAAAAGCTCGGATGATGGCTTGTACCTCTATTATTTAAATATCGATAAGATACACCTAGCATTGAATGGAAATTTCTCCATCGGATTACCTGCAGTCTGCATGCAGCCATCTTTGTTTTTATTCATGCGTTGAAGGGTAGCGCAGGTCTTACTGGTTTGTGTGCACGTCGAGCACAGTACCACACATGACTGTACGCACAGTACAGTACAGTCATGTGAGGTAGAACATGCGCAGTCGTACAAGTGGACCATTTTTCAACAGTCAATTGGACACAGTGTACAGTACAGTACTCTACAGTATACTGTAGTGTAGCGTGACCGGACTAACACCAGTGTTGAAGTACTGTACTGTACTGTACTGTAGGCCATGCTACTGAACAACTACAGTACAATTACTGTAGTACTGTTTTACAGTTAGTGCATGGTCCTTACGAATCCCATTATATTCCCGCCAGTTATTATAAGTAAAAAGTTCTTACTGCTACTTGGCTGAAACTACCGCACTAAACACGATGCTAAATACCTCGAGATCCCCCAATTTGGAAATGGCAGTAATCCCATACTCACCCAGTAGGAATTTTCAAATACTGTAGTGTTACCCTCCACTACAGTACTGTACAATGTACTGTACATAGACTGTACACTGTACAGTACAGTAATAGCAGTCAGAGACATCGGATGGGACAGACTTACTGAATTCGATTCATTCGCCTCGGTTCTATAGTACATAGTATGGGAAACAACCAAAGCATCTATAGGTTGATTCGAGGTTTGCGATGCCTTGGAAACAACTCTTAAACTTTAACTTTACCGTGATCATAAGTGTCAACAGTTTCTTCCTAATGACTCCTTAATAAGAGAGACAGACATCAACCCATGAGCTTGGGGAAGAAAAAAACTGCCCTTCTACCATCTCGATTCTAGATACTAGTATCCAGAAGAAATCGCTTCCATTCAGCAGTCCCTGCATCGTAATGGATAGATATCTCCTGACAGATATACAGTACTGTATTGTATTAGAACCAAGTGGAACAAATTCATACATAAATAAATTAATGATATTATTGTATTACTGCCTATACGCGTACAGTACTGTACTGTATACTGTATTGTACTGTGCTTCAGCCAATACGTTTACATTTCTTGATGTGGATTATATTTATTTATATATATTGAACACGCTTGATTCATTAGGCCCCTTCGGTTTATACGATTATACCATAGTATAAATGATATTTGGAAAACGTCTACTTAGCAGTTGTATATCCATGAATAAGCTTAATGATTAACCCTGCCGGAACTGGCAATCAGACTCATTTATTGTAGTAATAAGTGAATAATTTTTAAATTTCGAATATGCCTTAAGTACGTCAAAAATAGCTAATGTACGTACGTCATAAATAGCCAATATTTCATGTACAGTATTCCTAGGAAGTCTATATGGATTCAATTTAGTCATTCTCCGTTATTTACGTAAAATTCCACTTCAAGTTTAGCCGATTCTTTCGGATACTATAAATTTACACTATTTTATATAGTAGTAGTAGCTCGAGATCAACTTTTTACTCTTGATTAATGCTGCCAGAACTGGCAATCAAACTCATTTATTGTAGTAATAAGTGAATAATTTTTAAATTTCGAATATGCCTTAAGTACGTCAAAAATAGCTAATGTACGTACGTCATAAATAGCCAATATTTCATGTACAGTATTCCTAGGAAGTCTACATGGATTCAATTTAGTCATTCTCCGTTATTTACGTAAAATTCCACTTCAATTTAGTCGATTCTTTCGGATACTATAAATTTACACTACTTTATATAGTAGTAGTAGCTCAGATCAACTTTTTACTCTTGATTAATGCTGCCAGAACTGTCAATCAAACTCATTTATTGTAGTAATAAGTGAATAATTTTTAAATTTCGAATATGCCTTAAGTACATCAAAAATAGCCAATTTACGTACGTCATAAATAGCCAATATTTCATGTACAGTATTCCTAGGAAGTCTACATGGATTCAATTTAGTCATTCTCCGTTATTTACGTAAAATTCCACTTCAATTTAGCCAATTCTTTCGGATACTATAAATTTACACTATTTTATATAGTAGTAGTAGCTCGAGATCAACTTTTTACTCTTGATTAATGCTGCCAGAACTGGCAATCAGACCCATTTATTGTAGTAATAAGTGAATAATTTTTAAATTTCGAATATGCCTCACGTACGTCAAAAATAGCCAATTTACGTACGTCATAAATAGCCAATATTTCATGTATTCCTAGGAAGTCTGCATGGATTCAATTTAGTCATTCACCGCTATTTACTGTATGTAAAATTCCTCTTCAATTTAACCGATTCTTTCGGATACCATAAGTTTACACTATTTTATACAATAGCAGAGGCTCGAGATCAACTTTTTACTCCTGACTAGGCGCGTGATAAAAGGCTATGGAAAATGATGCATTGCACGTGCAAGTACTGTCTCCATTTGTTCCTCTATCTATAAAATACAATCATTTCAGTGTAAATTCAAAAGTATCATAAAATTAATTAAAAGGTCTGTAATTTACCGTTATAAAATTATTGCTTGCATAGAAGGAAGTCTGTCATTTCCTCTTGAAAATTGCTTGGCGATCATATCTTAGTATCCACTGACTATCCTGCATCCAGTAGGATACTTGTATATCGGCCTTGTATAATGAATATCAAGTATGTCGGCGCTAGCTTGGATCGTTGATATACCAGGAGAACGGTAAATAGTTCTTCAGGAAAAGATCTCAGCCTATGGGCTATAAAGATGGCCGCTAAAATTCGAGTCCATCCAAAAATAAAACCAATCAATAAAATACTGCTATAGAATTGGCGGACAGACGATCATCCAGTACTCTTGCTGTGGCCTATCGTAATACGGTAGCAATGGCAACGTACAGCATTATTCAGTACCGTAGCAGGGTGCACAGACTACGGTATCAAACCAGTTCGTGTACTAAAGTCGCAAGGCAAATTTAGTAGAAATAGACTTGCGCTCTACTCATTGCTCAGTCCTGAAGTATAACTAGTTCATTCAGTCATTTATTAACTTTCCAATAGCAAGCAGAAGAAAACATGTCCGGTCAAACATCACGTTGGTTGCCGCTTGAATCCAACCCAGAGGTATTGCATAATCGTCGTAGATTGCTATAAATTGAAGCCTACTTATCATAACTGCATAGAAAATCGATCAAATCATACGTGAGAAGCTCTCTATATATATATACTGTACAATGGAATTCAGTGCGACGTGTAGATGATCCTAATTTGAAAATAATTCTATTTATTATGCTAGGCTATAAACAAGGTATCACTCATAGCGTCCAATAAGAAATCCAAGAATTAGAACGTATAGATAGACTACAAGTTGATAGACGTCATTGATGCAATGCCTGCTTGTTTATTAATTTTGATGTGATCAACCTCATATCGAGGGAATAGTTTGCTTATGCTTTAGGGGTCCCCAAAGCATGGCAGTTTGTCGATGTTTTCGGATTAGACGATGAATTACTAGCTTTCTTACCTCAACCTGTCGTAGCCTTATTAGTTCTATTTCCTATAACATCGAAGGTGATTGATATCAGCTTTCTTTTACCTTTCTATTTCCCTTAACACTATGATAGTCGTTGGAATTATAGTTGCTAATGCGTTTACGTGTTTTATTAATTTATCTAGTACGAAAATTACATAACTGATGAAGTCAATCGACTTGGTACTCAAGGCCAGGTCAGCTAGATACGAACATTCGTAACTGTAAAAACTAAGAAATAGTATCAATCGATAAGTGAGTTAATATTAGGTCTACATGGACTGTAGTGTCTATCTAACTAACTACTCGTTATCCTGCAAAGGAACAAAGTTTATTGTACTGCTATAATATACGAGCACATCTAATTTTGCAGTAGTTAAGTATTTGTTTATGTGTGCCTACAGATACAGCAAATTATAACCATAACCATAAATTTAATTAATCTGGTAACAAATTGTAAGTGTATATTGTATTGGCCTGATGTACTGTAGTTTGTTGGCGACGATGTCTATTTTATGAAGCAAACGATTGGCAACGCTTGTGGTACAATCGCACTTATACATGCATTCGGCAACAACAGTGCAAATGTTCAGCTCGATAATGGCTACCTAAAGGAATTTTTACAAGCTACAGCTAACATGAATGCGGTAGAAAGAGCAGCCTATCTTGAAAATGATAATGTAAGTATACCTAGGATATCTTTAAAATTTCACCATCTACCAATTCTACTGTAACCTCACAATAGAGAATACGACTACAGTATAATGATTGCACGAAATCAATGATATTTCTTATTAATCTCTATCAGGAAATTACTTCTGCTCACGAAGCATGCGCTCATGAAGGGCAAACTCAGGTAACTGTCAATAATTATTATTATTACTTGAATATCTTACAGGCTAAAAGCAATACTTAAATCTTCATGGTACACCGATGTAATGGGCAATATATAGAAAATAACAATTTATCATTTTCCAGCAGTTATGATTGCGATCTACAGTACATTACAGTCTTTTATTAATTTACAGTAAATAGCGTCAGTACAAATATTTAGCTGATGTGTAGTATATGTATGAACGTACGTCCGGTTATAATTGTATCCTCAAGTTACTAAACTGTGACATTTGCAATTTGCTATGTCGTCGGTGAATGAATAAAATTATTCGTTGTGTTAGGCTCCAAGCGTTAACGAGGAGGTTAACTTGCATTACGTTGCTCTCGTCCAAAATGGTGGCCATTTATATGAGTTAGGTACGTTGTACACCACCTATACTGCAAGAAAGCCATTGATAGTACGATAAATTCTTACAATTTAAGATTTAATTCATGTAGATGGACGCAAACCGTTCCCTATCAATCATGGCTCCTCAAGCCCCGAATCATTTCTAAAGGTAATGTTCATCGCTATTTACGCTTTAATATTACAAGCGTCAGCAATAGCCTATCTACGTATCACTAATTAATACCATTCTTCTTACGGCAAACATATCTGTTCACGAATATGCTTGCTCTTAATATCTTACTATTTAGGATGCCGCTAAAGTGTGTCAATCTCTTATGCAGCGTGATCCAACAGAAGTAAATTTTAGTATTATCGCGTTGGCACAAGCATAAATTTGGAATATCAACTAGGATATTTTCCTTTATATTTTTACACAATACGAATTGATCGCTTATATAAGTTTTATATGTTCAAATATTATAACAGACGCCAAATAGGATACTGCAATAGTTATTCTGATAACTTTACTGAAATTACATTTTGAGGTGCTAGTGTGTAATCGTTTAACAATGTCCATAGTATCATTAACAAATTCATTTCCCATGTAGCGTTGTATTAATTATTTATGACTACTCTATGATGTTTAACTATATCAATCAATAATATATAACTGAATTGAAAAGCTAAATTTTTGTAGAAATATCCCTTGATGTTAGTAAAGTGGCCTATCAATCATCCAACAAGGATTTCGATTGACGGTTCAGAAAATAAAACTTTCAACTGAAAATGAACTAGCTCATATGATAAGATAGCATCTTAGTTGATGCTTTTCTTAATATTTTCGACTACGGAGTATTTGTTATCGATAAAAGATATAACTTTACGAGTTACAAGATAAAACTTAACAGTACGTAGAGAGTTATAAAAGTAGTGTCCAAGAAACGAATATTGTACATATGCAGAAATTGACTATCATTGAGTTAACAGTAGCATTCTGAAACAGTATAATTCCTACAAAACGTCATTTAAAAACATCCAAAGGATGCGTAAACAATCAAGTGACATATTCTGTTCGTAACCCTAGCTCTCTACCTATTTATACAAAATACTCAAGGTATACTTTTGAATAAACATCAGTGTGATAGTTGCATTTAATACACAATTTTAAACTAAACATATTAATGTATAATTAGGTCGAACTTGCTATTCCTAGCTGTCAGCCACCTGCCGCATAATTATTATTTAAACTGTATTCACTAAGCCTCATCGGAAATAGTATAATTTACATCTTTAGTCATCTCTGTGTTTTTTACTTCGTTTCCGTCACTAATAGAATCCTGGACAGCTAATTGCTCAAATTCTGAAAGAGTATTGCTGTCTACTATTTCTGTAGCTTGCTGTACATCTATTTCGGTAGTAGAGCTATCCATCGTCTTCAGATCATGATTTAGTTGTAAATTAGAATTTTCATCTTCATCCTCTGGATTTTCGCAAATTGATCCATTTACTTGACCCTCAGCGCTTTTATTTTCTAAAAGTGCAATTTCCTGTGCATCAAATTGAACACATCACATATACTGTACTGAAAGCGCTTATGGGTAAACTTTATAGTTATAGAAAGCTAAAATGCATCAATTATATAGTAACAATATAATTTACTTCGGATATAGCTGAGATTTCTTTCTCCAATTTCTTATTATCAGCATAAATTCTGGTAGCTCGATCCTCTATTGTTTCAGACTTAGAATGAGCGAAAGCATGTCTATTATACATACCCGACCAGAATCTATATGAAAGGATACTACAATTAATGCCTACATCAATTTCAAATGCTGCTATTTGAGTTGTGTATTGATATAGTAATAACATTATGAACTGACTTTAATGATTACCTTATACACTGAGGATTTATCAATGGAATAATTATTCCTCTTTTATCTGCATTAAAGTTTGGGTCGTAGTAAGGGTTCAAATATGTTGCCAACTGTTTGCACATATAACCCCACAATGAATAGGTCTTTTCAGAAAGTCTATCCGTATAATTGGTAAAAGATTTAGTATTTCACTAAACAGAGATAGATGAAACCCAATTTTGAAACATAAATTAATACGTCAGCTATATTACGTACGACTCCTTCCTTCTGTCCTGTTGGCAGTTTCCTAAGAAATTTCCAAACTATAGAAAAATTGATAGAATTTAAAGAAGATAGACTATATTCCTGATATTTTAATAATATTAGCACATATCAATTTTAAAGATCTCAGGAATAGTCTTACTAATAGTAACTAACCTGGCAAGAATAAACATGGTCATGTATAGTTAAAAGAAATTGTTCGTTAAATTCAAATGCGAACGGAAACTGTTGCATTATCTGCCATGTACAATCTATAAATTGTGTGAATACAGGCGAAACTTCGCGGTTTTCACGGCGCAGTAATCCACAACTAAATCAAGTTCGTCAAAGAATTCATTATAATACTATAGTTAGTAACTAATTTTGAAATAAACCGATATCTAGAAGTAAATCTCTTACCGGCAGTTGAATTTATGGCCAAATGCAAGCCAGTCTTTCTCAATTAATATCTAAAGCGTCAATTTATATTGTTTATAGAATGACTGGCAACTATATTGGAATAGCCAATTTACTGTACCTGGTAGCCTTTAATTGTTCTGTAATATGGGTCAAGAAATAACGATGCTAAAGCACATGTTTGAGCAGTTCTATCCCATCCATCACTACAGTGGCATAATACTGATGCATTATCCATTAGCATTGCCTAAAAAGTATAACATTACAATCTGCGTCACTTTAAAAAACAAGGTAATCCTTTAAATCTGAATTTCGTCTTGTACCGACGCGATACTAACCAGGGCAATAAATCTAGACGTATCAATTACTGATCTAATATGCTTAAGCCAACTACTACTATCTAAAGAATCGAAAAATTCGCCAGCATTTAGCGCAGGATTTTCTATAACTAGAAGACACATTAATTACAAGTTAGCGATTGATTAGCATAAAAAATTAATGATATTCACATGATCGTGGAGTAATTGGCTAACCTTCCGATAACTTTTGCAAACTCTCTCGCATAACATGAATATTTTGTATTCCACGAAATCGATATAGAACATTAGGATAATTGTCCAAATTTTCATAACCTTTGCCAGCAGCCTTATTCGCCATAGCATTAATCTAAATTCAGTCCATAATGCAATTCTTAAATAAGTATAGACATCAATAAATGATAATATAAGTAAATGACATTGGTCGAATTACCTTAGGTCTGGTATCTACTATATACATAACAGGAGACTTCGGATTTGATTGAATTACAGCCTGTAATAATTGTTCATCATCTACGCTTCTTCCCCGCATTCCTGTTAATGGCTGACTACTGCGGCATAAGGCAGTCTACGTGCAAGAATTTAACATGTACTGAAAAATAACCTTACGAATAAATTGTCTATCAAATCTATCAGATCGAGTAGTCTAGTACTCGCTAATTATTAGTTTAGATAGCTTTAACAATAATAAAACAAAATTCTACCTTGTTGTATTTATGGTAATAAGTCAAAACGGGTAGTCTACCTCTGCTACGAAAAGATGCACTACCGGTTAGAGTCTCTTCTGTAGCTGTCGCTGGCACATACAAGACTTCAGGATAGGTTGGACATAGCTACACAGAGTATTTACAACACCATTACATAATCATGTTATTCAGCGATTGCTAATATAATATGACGGTAATAGTTTTAGATCATAAGCGAAGAATCAACTCTACATATGGTAGTAGCTAAGGAACAACAACGTGTGCACATTAAATAGATTTATGATCGTAATTTTACCTTATAATCTTTATTAATATCTGTTTTCCTCCACAAATCACTCGGTACTTCTAAGCGAGTCATTTCAGCTTCGAATTCGAAAATATTCCATCCGTCAGATCTAGGCCATTTACTACCAGGAGGTTCGTAAGTAAAGGCGTGCAATTCCGCATAATTTACTGAGGACGATAATTTTAAACAAGTAATTTTAGGAATTGGTAGTAATTACTAAGCCTAATTTCAATTAATATTTCTACATTTGTAAACATACCTGGTTTTGTTAAATTTTGTAGTGAGACATAAACGTCTTGACAATCACGCTCCTTGTAGAAGACAAAGTTTAGGACACGAAAATCTTTACAGACAATTTTTAGTGGTGCTCCTTTAATACTAATTTGCTGCTTCTCCACAGTAGCTATATGCGAGTAAGATAACTAAAAATATAAGAAAATTATCACTGGATCAGTTTGGCTGATACCATGATGAAAAATCTGATTTACCAAAATTGCACTAAAACTTTACTTTAGCAATCACTCAAAGGTCTATTCAATATAATTGATCCAAAAATGAATAAGTTAAAACTAATGCTGCTATTAATCTAATTTATGACAAGTATTCAACAGAAGTACACATAAGATGAAATTGAAGCTCAATATATTTAAGCTAGTAGAGTATTAGACTAATTGCTTCCAACAGTAACCACCGTACATATGGAGTTTGTATTCAATTTCATCCATTGCAATTGAATATAAGATGTACTGTAGAATATTTGACATAAAGCATTTCTTAATTAGCATTGTAATTACCCATAGTTCTGGATTAACTGCAGGATTAATAAAAATTAGATGGGTTGCTGTTAAATGAAGCGTTCCGTTATTTTCAAAGCTTGGATTAAATCTATCTTTCAATGTGACCTTATCTACCTGTAAATACGAAATGAGTAAATTGCAATAAATTACGCAAGAATTAGAATCTGATGTTGCAAAGATAATCACAAGGAGAAAATCAGGACAGAAAATTATCTCAATTTATGCTGTACAATATCATGAGCAAAAATCAAAGTACTGGTACATACAAATTTGAAATCAAATCACAATTCTTGGTGTATAAAGGACGATAGACGAGTACAAGTAAATAATCCGTCAAAGGTTAATAATAGTACGTTTATAGCCAATCGTTTTTACATTTTATGCGTCTGTCAAAATGTTGTAAATACATTGTGCCTTGCAAACAGAGCTTGTTATTCTATCTCATCGATCACCGGGACCATATTTAACCTATTTTATTGATCATTACTTAGCTTGTTACTTTCGTTTGATTTAAAAGGCAAATCTACATGAGTGTATATCTATATGCATTGGATAGAATATGGATTTATGTAAGCGAGATGAATGTAAGGAGTGAAGAGAGAAGCTAGCAGCCGCTAATCGTCGTTAGGCGTGATGGCATGCTATCATCAGTAGTCTACCCCTTGATCGTAGTCCGTATCATTGATCGATCACTAATTTACTGATACGTTGTACAGCTATCCTTCTACACCACTACTTTAGCCATCGAATGTTGACTTGATTACAGCCATTTTAAATCAAGGAAGAAAATAATCCCTCCCCTCTAGAACTCATCATCGCTGGCTGATCTATCCAAAGGCAGATATACCTAGAGGGAAGACAACACATCCGTTTCAACTAGTCTCAACCAGTCTCAACTGGACCCGTATGACAACATTTTGATCAATTCTTCACAATCCCCATGGACTGTACTACAGTATAACGATCTATCCAAAGGCAGATACAACCTAGAGGGAAGACAACACATCCGTCTCAACTAGTCTCAACCAGTCTCAATCAGCCTCAACCAGTCTCAATTAGCCTCAACCAGCCTCAACTGGACCCGTATGACAACATTTTGATCAATTCTTCACAATCCCTTGGACTGTATAACGCCAGACATGAAGGGAAATTTGAAAATCAGTTGGAATAGCATGATCGTGTGGTCTCGATTTTATTCTTGGCTAACATACCTTAGTTGTTTGTAGGTAATCCATCGTGTTGTAAGGCCAAAACGCAAATCTAATACCGTTATTGAGTGGTTTGTCTTGGGCCGATTGATTGATGCGATTTCAGACACTCAAGGCTTCTCCGTACGGCGGTTTTACTTCGTGTCGAGTTCCTGGCCCAGTGCCCAGGTAGGCAGACCTTAGGGTACAACGCGTTGGCGTAGTCCATTGCCCTCGCCAACAGTCACAGTACTGCACGAGTGGTCGTACATTGTACAGTATACTGTACAACGTACAGGATGCGTCAACACACAGTTCATTGGTGGGTTGGCCGTTTGGGTGTGTAAAGCAAGTATGGGGGTGGTGCGCTATACTATGACGGAAACGCAGTTTGGTACCCATACTAACTTCATGGCGTAGTACAGCCATGGTGAACTGTATGAAAGTAGTGACGTCAGCCGCAGCAGATTGGTTATTATCATTACTGTAGAGACATTGATTTGCAGGCAAAGCTAACGGTATAGCAATGGCCGGCCACTTTCTTACTACAGGAATGGCTATGAAATAAAATGATATCATTACCAATTTGTATATAATTATAGGCTTCTAGAGGAGGTTGGCTTATTCATTGCATAATATCTCCATGAAAATTAGTCAAGCTTACAACTGCACAAGCTATACTGTATCAATAAAAATGTTCATACGTTCTAATCTATCCAGGAAATATCTCAACATAAAGAGGTTAAAAATAAACATCGTAGTCCGCTAGGTTTCATTCAATAAAATAATGATATGCAATGTTTAGAATATGCGATTGTGCATGGCGAAATGGAACAATGTACATTGATTTTTGCCTCCTCTACTGTCGGTAATCAAATATCCAGCTAGTATTTACTACAGGCTTTCTTTTCCAGCCATCTGTAGAAAGACGCATACATACGTAGAGATCACACAAACGTATATTAACGACATTGGCTGTCCCATTTTTATTATCAAATGACCCCAGTAAATTCAATTCAATTAAAATGGCAATTCAATTTGTTGGTAGTCTAGCCCAATCTGCCAATTGGCAGACTTTTTCTCCATAGTCTGCTCTATTTCCACCTTTTCCCTTGCTTTATTCTAGCGTGTGGTAGCAGTAGTTTGCTTCTTACTGTATCGAGGTGTTACTTTGTTTCAGCTATGTTTTACTGTAGTGGCCATCCATTCGTGTACTACAAGCTCGACGCTAGCATTATGAGAGTGTAATAACAAAGTTGTATTGCACGATGTTTTCCGTAAGAAAAAGTGGGATAAAACACTTACGTGCACGCCTTCATAACAGGGAATTGAAAGAGAATAACTCAAATTGTAATGATTAACTGAGGCTGCAAGCTGCAATAACGATCACGAAAAAGGACAGCTATCACATGAAGACACCACTGAAGAGTAAAAATAGTGCGGTAACTTGGTCAGACGAGATGTTTCATCATCAGCCAAAGTCCACCCAAACTTGACCTACGTACGAGTAAAAGGACTGGATCTAGCGTAAAATAATAATCAGTTTAAGATCGTCCCAACGGAAACGGCAATGTCATAGTTTTCAACTGACGTATCTTAAACTAGACATTAGGATAGCTCGGTAAAAAGAAAAAAGATTACTCATAACGGCTAAAAGAAAGAACTTTACTTGCTTACTTTTCGTTTACTTATGCAGTACTGGTAATCAAACATAAACTGCAATGATTCAAAAGAGATAGAGAGAAAATGCAAACTCTCTCTTTCACTATGCGCTGAAATACTGTGCTAGATAAGGGTGACAAAGCCCAATTACGTATTCGTATGTAAAACTATAGGATAGACAGATTCATAATTAGATAAAGGCTTGATTTTAATTGACTACTGTACGTCGATGGATATTTCAAGGCTAAGGTAATTCGAATATTGGTATAGTAAATTGTACGCCCAAATAATGAGCTCAGCTAATATACTGATTCAGCATAATTTGACCAAGTCCGTTATGTCACTTACACGTATACAGTATTGCATATTAAGTGATAGTGGTGATAGTGGCAATGATAGTGAAGACTTGCTCGATACAGCCTCTCATTAATATTCGTATATAAGTAACTTACTATATTATACGCCATTGGAAATGGTCGAGCAATCGGGCTAAGTCATGTCGTACAATGCAAGTAGCGCTATATATCTTCTAGATAGATAAGTTACGTAGACAAAGGTAATATTATAACTCGTTAGCCGATATGAATCATTTTGCACTAGTGCCGTATGCCTGTAATCATTGACCTTTACAAAAAAAGTTGCTAGAATTGATCAGTAGAGTTTGAATTATTAGCATTTTTATCCTTCTCTGGAACTATTTTGTGTTGTTACCTGACACGTATTGTAGACATAGGAGTACACATTTCATGCATTAAAAGGAAACAGAAAACGAAAGCAAAGTACATGAAATCCAGATTTAATCAATTATTATCAGCAGCATGGATTTAAAAGGCAAAGTTTGCAGATGTTGTTCTTCACTATATACAGAATAACATGTACATCAGAATATTAAATAATTAGAATAACATTATGTCGGATTATAACCTATTTTAAACTCTAATTAAATAATCATCTTTTACATACTTTTCTTACAATTCTAGATTTGGCTTTTTGGATATATTTATCGTATTGCATATAGCACAATAGGTAGCAAATATTCTTCCGTTATCGTAGCTGACAATTAATCGTAATACTAATATACTCGTATATCTTACTCCCACATCATACTAAATATTTATAAATTATTCCAATCTTTACTTTTAATAATATTATAAGTCAGCGCCTATAGATAATTGCACTGCAGTAAAATCGTGTACAATTCTGAAATCACTGTCAATAATCTGCATTACCAGCCAATAACCCAATATAATTTCCATCTAAAATTATAACTACTGTATATGGTTAAACGCCGCAATGAATATTTTGTAAAATTCTTATCTACATAAGAAAAAAAGCATCACCGTAAACCTTTTACATCTAAGATCTTAGATATGTTGATACATTTGTATAAATCAAACAGATTGTCAGTGTTGATTCTATGAATATTAAATAAAGTTATCCGGCTAGTAATAATGGCACACAATACTGAAATAAAGTTTAATAACAATATTTCGATAGTATTAACATATTTTCTTATAATAGCATGGAATAAGACTGGCAATCGCATCCATCTACTAATATGATAGAATTAGCATTAGAATGTCTGCCAATAGGAATTAAGCTAATGGATGAATTGATAAATATATAACTGAAATTAGATTAATCATTTAATTTAGACCATCAAGTATCATGCAAGTATGAAATAAATTCATTAACATCTGTAACGTTATTACCATCTTTTAGCATATTAAATGGATTATCCATATTGCTATAATTTCCTAGATTGATGCTGTTGTAAATGTTAGTGAGACTATCATTGTTATTATGGTTAAAATTCTCTTCAGGATTGATTACTCGATCAATGATACTCCGTTGATTCTCCGTAGGTAAATGAATATTCTGTTCAAACGAATTTCTCTTATTAGGATCATTGAATTCAGCGGAGTTAGGCATGAATGAATGCTGATTGAAATCATTTTCGGTATTAAAGTTAGCATAATATTGCTTAACTATTTGGTGTAGTAACAATAAGGCCATCCTGACCAGAATTAATCTTGTTGCTATTATTTGTAGTCCAATTTCCTACTGGATTCTCATGGATATCGTATTCAGGTACAACATTTAAAGTTGAAGGATTTTGAGGCGTAATTGGAGCGTGTTGATATTGCTGCATAGTTTGAGATGTAGCAGGTAGCGGATTTTGTGTTGATTGTGGTCCTTGTGATGCATTGGTAAAAGTGTCATTAATTCTATTTGGGTCAGTGTTGATCATGTAATGTTCAGGTAGATTTGAATGATCCTGATAATTGCCTAAATTTGTCTGATTATTGGCTTGTGTGCGTAACATAGAATGCCCTGCAACAAAATTGTTTTGATTTTGTTGCAGATTTGATGGATTATTGTGATTCAAATTTTGTTGCAATAATGGCACAGACGAAACTGCATGTTGCTGAAATTGAGAATTGTTTCGAATTTGCTGTTGCTTTTGCATTGAATTTTGTTGAAGTTGCTGCTGAATAATGATTCTTGACGCATGAGGAATAGGGCCTCGTCTGATTTGTTCTTTACCTTTTGCCTTAGGTATGATCGGTGGCCTTGGCGGCCTTTTCATCCATTGTTCTTGATGCTTTCTATGCTGTTGTTTCCGATTAATTTGTTGCCGATATGTAATTTGACTGCTGTTGTATCTAATTTCTTTCAAAGATAACGGTTGTTGCTCATTACCTTGTCCTGGACGCTTAGGTATGGAAGAATGAAAGTGATCTATTTCCTGGTTAGGTATAAATGCTTCCGGATGTGCAGCCTGAAGATGAGGTTGATGTACTTGTTGCTGCTGTTGTTGTTGCTGTTGTTGTGACTGTTGTTGCGATACTTGGACCTGCAATGATGGCACTGGGTGATTAGCTTGTTGTAAATTGCTATCTGTTCCATTTGGTCGAGGATGATAATTAGCTGGTATGGTATGCGCATTATTCGTCTCATTCATATCACCAAATGGACTCATAAATGTCGCAGAAACAGTAGCAGCAGATGCATCATTGGTTGAAGTTTGCCATTTATTGGGGTGGCCAATAACTGATTGTACATGTCTACCTTGCATTGGTACGATCCCATCTAAACTTATGGTGTTCGATGTAGATGGTGTTAATGATACATTAACGGCCTTACCCGATGTTGGATCATTGATATTCATGCCTACGCTACTCGTTATCGGCAACGTTGATTCATCATCATGTGGCGTACAAGCAGCACCTACCGCTGGATCTGACATGCTTTTAACCTTTGAATCGGCTAAGTTAGCAATCGGTGAGTTTGTTACAGCTATATCTGAATTAGCTGGACTATGAAATCCTTTTTTATATACCGATGGCCTATTGTTGACTGAATTAGCCTGTACGCTATTTAAATCAAGGCTTGCACCTGATTGTTTCTTTCTTCTATTACCAGACATTAACATGGATTTATATTTCAATTTAAGAGAATCTGTAGCTTGATCTTTACCAGGCATCCTTTGCGGTGGCAAATCATAGTTTGGTGTACTGCCCATATTTCGTAAAACTACTTCATTAATTGGACCATCGTGATGATATGCTTGACCACTTGTAGGAGCTAATAAATCTGATCTTTTTCTGGGCATTAACGCTTGCTGCTGCTGTTGACGTAACGTTTGTGGCTATTTAGAAATGAAATAATAGTTAATGTGGTATACCGGTGAGATTATTATTAATGTAATATGCATAAGTTAGCAAAGTAATTGTAACAAAGCATAAAAATTTTGTTTTTCCTATTTTCGACATTTGCAAAAGATAAATATTAATTAAAATGAGAACTACTAATATAAATATCAACTACTTTAATTGATTACATTAGTATAACATTGGTTACACTTAATTGATTATCAATAACTATTTTAATAACATTACTTAAACATAACCTCTAGAGTGAAGATTAAGCTGAAATATTGACCTGCTTAAATATGAGAGCCTTAAGATAAAAGCCATATAATTGCAATGACTAGATCAATGTAACAACATACTGACAAGCGGATTATTCCATAGATAAAGAGCATAAATACAGATCTACATGGTATATACTCGTATGCTGATATCAAGTAAGTAAGTTGCATTCATCAACTCGCATCATACATCTAAGTATACAAAATCAGCCGATTGCCTTACGAAAGTATCCCAATTTTCAATAATCTATTTTAGTTTACGGCGCTTTCAGTTAATTATTTTGTTGCTAATTATATTTACATATACTGGTAATGCCTATGTTTTCATTCCATTAATAGGAGCATTTATATAGAGTGTAATGTACCCACTTTACGAATGCAATGAAATTTACTTTTACATCCCGGAAACAGCCATATTTTCACTCATTGTTTGCCCTTAATACATAATCAAACTCCGGTAAGATTCTCTGTTCTAGTAGGTAAACTGACTTACTGAAAATTCCGTTTGAGTCAGAAAACCACACATTAACTAAAGCCTTATCAGTATATCATTCTAGTTTTGAATTCAGAAGAGAAAAATGTATGTAATAGACTTTGTGGTCCAATGGAGTATATATGTTACTATATAAGTCCACAGCAATGTATGTACTATTAGTAAGGATAGACGAAAATGCGAAGATCCTTTCCATATCATGTTCTTAGTGTTTATGTAAGTTTGGCTACTCTCTTACACAATAATAATTAATGATGTCGTGATAAATATCGCAATTATATACCCACTTTAACCGAAAGTAGACGTACAGTATTACTAAAATCATTAAAATCATTTACAAAATCTCATAAATATTATAAATACCGGGAAAGTACAGTATCCGCGTATATACGCTTAGATGGAGATATCAACATTATTAGTAAAAGGGAAGTTGTATATTTAAGCGATATAGTGAATAGTTAAGTTATAAGTGTAAGAAAAAATGGCGCGGTAACATAAGGATAGGAGTTTCTATATTTTGGTACATTTTACGCGTAAATAAACTGCTACATTTATGAAGTTACCTAATCGACAAAATAGGAAAACAATAATTGCTATAATAATCGCCAGCTTCTCATTTTGACTTTCAGGTAAACTATATGATTTACGGACGAGCGTATTTTTGCTACAGACTGTATGCTATAACTCTATGGTTTATAAAACAGACCTATCATAATGTGATCCTAATTTACCAAGAAAATTTTTTTTATTTGATCACAAAATTGTTTTCTTACCAGCAATAAGGCTATGGATAGGTACGGTATTAATGAAATATTGCGAACAATTATTTAAATTTCATGTGATTTCAAAATTCTTCTTTACTATGTTTCAAATTTTAAGAACTTAAATCAATCCTGGTGCAGTACTATCTAGATATAAAGTTTATAATAATAGTGATGGAAATAACGATGACCTTAGTAAAGACCTGATTTTAGGCTGGTATTATCGATTTATGATTTGTTAAGCAGTTTACAAAAGGTGGTATAAAAAATGTGTATGTTGACTTTGCCTATACCGTTGTTTATGCTATATATGTGTTCCACATCAAGAAAACTACGTAGAGTTAAGGCTTTAACTACCATTAATAGCTAGATTAAATTACTAATAGATTACCAATAATTCCGCTCAGCCTAATAGCTGAGAATTCATTAAGAGAAATTAAATCATTCAAATGGTCCCCAATTTTTTTCGTGTAAGAGTTGTTGCTGTAGTTACCGTAATCGTAATCGACGTATTTCAATTTGTTATAACTATCCAAAGATTCGAAATCGTGTAAACAGACAGAAATCTATTTATTACGTTTTAAACAGATGAGTAAAGACAATGGGTGTACAAGTGTATTACGATCTAAAAGCATGTTTTTAATTAAACTTTGATATCAAAGAGAAATATAACAATTACAATCCTCTGGTATTAACTAGGTGCAATACTATTTTCTATTGGAGAATTCTACATTATTGCCCTAATCTTTACTTGCCGTTGTAAGAGTTATTCATAGCTCAGTATCTAAGTAAAATAATTCGAGTAGGCGTATGGTGTTCTAATAGACTGTGGCTTGAATAAATCTCTAACAGTTGATAAAATAGTCCTTCCTTCTATTATAATTCTAGTTGAAAAAGTACTTAATAGAAATTCTATGGGTAAATTACTACTTCAACGCATCCTCATTGTGGGCAAAATTTTATTTTGAAGAATATGCTACCGAGTGATGGCTACTATTTGAACTAAGATTTTTTATAACCGATTGGCTAGTCAAACTTGACTTGTTTACCAATAAAGTTTACAATTTTAACCTCCACATCAATATTTTCTCTCTTTCTTAATCAGGTGATTTGATTATTGAATTGTAAGTCAGTCCTCAATTAGAATATAATAATAAGATAACATTAAACTAATACAGTCGGCAGTTGTCTCGTTTCTACTGTCATCTTTAATTGTGAATCGGTACTTTCTATACAATTATCGACTTCCGAAAATACAATTTTAATAAATAAAACATTAATTTGATCAATTTTACATCTTTTTACAAGGCAAAATCGGTAGTATTTTATTTTGGACTTTAAAATGCATTCTATTATTGTAACCAGATGGTATAGTTAGTTTTTTACTACTCTTGATACGACTTCCATATGCTTTGGTTTGATTGAAAGCATTTCATATAATACCTGAGGAATAAGTTACTGTATGACTATACTGTAATCATTGACTCTGTAAGCCTCGAACCAGCTATTTGTAGTATTCTAGAACTTAGTTTTGACGTTAATTAAGCTATTTAGGTTAAATAAAATACATTGTCAATTAAATTTTTAGATAAAGTTGATCCAACAATCTTGCACTTTATAAATACTTGACTAATAGAACTGTACTACAGGAATAGAAATAATAACTTTTGCTCAATGTAACAATTACTTGATTATTACTACACTAACTAGTTATTGAATATTACTTAGGGTATCTATAGCTCCTACGATATTATGGCTTAATTTGTTCAACCATTGCAATCTCACTTAGGATATGACACTTTTGTTTACTTTCGACGCTAAATTGATGAAATAGCAATTCTATCTATTTTTTGGTCACAAGTAACGACTGTATATCATTCTTCTACTTCTTAAAATTTTAAAGAATGGTTTAAATGATGGATACTTTGCCAAAATTGACTGTATAACAGGCTTCGCTTAGGAGAAAGTGACTATAATATTGAACAAATTGTGATATGATATATTTTCTACGTTGTATTTCTAGGTCGTTTATCATTAAACTTCCTATCCGGCTTTTTCGCCGCAATTTTAATATGACGATTGTTAACGACACTAATATGTATCTAAAGGAAGTAAATTCCTTTTTCATTTGCTAAAACGTGTATTATCTTTACATAGCAATTGTACTATAGAGAACAACTCGTTCTCGTAAGTTGTATATTCTTTTCTAACTGATATTGAAGATTAGATATGAACATATGGCATAGAAATGTACTAAGGTTCCTTCAATGTATAAATTTAATAGAATATATTCTCTTATCGTTAGTCATAAGTTATAAAATTAAACAAGTACCAACTGTAAAAATAAAGCTTATAGCTCGTAATACATAACTTTAATTCTCAGTTCACATGCATCTTACCTTCTTATTTGAACTAAATTATATTGACAAGATATAGTTAGCTCAATTACTTTTCAAAAAAATTAATATGCGTTTTCTAAAGCAAAAGAGAAACCTCGAACTAGTTCTTTGAACTACTCGATTAAATCTATTTCATTGGTTTGCAACCTTATTTACGGTAGTTCTGTATCATTTAAGTCTACTTTATGGTTCTTATTTCAGGAACAAAAATACTGATTGCCGTTAACAATACCGTTATACATTTGTTTCGGTTAGAATAAATAAAATAAAATTTAATTAGTCAACTAAATGTTCACTAGTTATCTATCAACGCTTTAATGTCTACTGAATAGATCAATACCTATTTTCCCTCCAAAATAGTTAAACTCCTTAAGAAAGAAATCAAATATTGTGAGCCGATTTTTCATTGCGCACGATCATACATTGCTTAACTTGATCTTAGAGAGTTAATATTTGGACTTAATAGGATTAAAACATGTACTCTTACTTAGCAATGCATGTAACGGAATCCAGTGGAAGTCAGCAACTGATCATTTAAAGGAAGAAGCATAATTTAAATGCTCATATGACATAAACAATAAATAGAAGCGAAGCTAGTTCTGTTATTGTGAGGAGAAAAGATCCACTAATTCCCTATTGTATCATGGTCTTTTGTACAATTTATACCAAAGATCAATTTTTAAATTTCTTTATAGATTAACAAACTAGGAAGTTATGATTAAGTCTTATCGAAGTCCCTAACTAAATAAGTGGTTTAAATATTATATCATCTCTTCCTAAAAAAAAAATGCTGTATTCAATAAGACGACCCACCGAAGCTCCTGTTAAGCTACTTGTAAGTCAACGATAGAACAACCAAGAAAAAACTGCTACTGTATAATTTTTTAAGGAATTATTCCCTTCATGATTATACAATATACATTAACTTTTTGTCGTCCATTACATGTACATGGTTCTACTAAAGTTAAATTATACCCTGATTGTAGATGATCTAAATCGGATATAGACGTTTCAAAGCTGTGCAACCTT